TCAGGAGCTTCAGTGGGAATCAAGACCGTCCTAATTTCAGTCTCTGCCTACCTTTAGCTCTGAGTTTGGTGAAGGTGTGAGCTGCCTCTGTTTAAAAGTGGACAGTTGTTTGGTGTTCATATTGTACCTGTGCGTTTGGGTCTCATTGGCATTCAGCAGCAGGACTCTGAGTGCCACCACACACTGAAGCGCAGCAGGCAGCATTAATCAATGCGCCGAGCAATCAGCACCTAGCCTAATTCAATAACTCCACTACACCAGAACACCACCATTAGGACGACAGAGCGCTGTGTGTTCACTCTGCTGTCCCTGTGATTTGTGTGTGTGTGTGTGTGTGTGTGTGTGTGTGTGAGAGTCCCTCTGCCAGCTGCTGCCGAACCCGAAACACTCCAGAGAGACGAGAGAGTGAAGAGGAAGCGGATAGAGAGAGAGAGAATTATAGAGAGGAGAGCTGTGTCAAATTGGTGTTGCCACTTTTCTCTCAGTGGCACGAGTTCAGACGAGGCCGCAGAGACGACCGTGGAGTCGCTGCTTTTGATTTTGTGTGAAGGAGTTGTTGAAGTCGAGACAAAGAATTTCACATTTCACAAAAAAAAAAAAAAATCACAATTTGTTTCCTGGCAGCCAGAAAAGCTTCAGTCATCCGTGTTGTGATATCTGAAGACAGTTCTCGGCTAAATCTGAGAAATTGGTGACACTGAGGACTTTTGTATCCCTTTCAAAGCCTTTCTTCTCCGTTTCTTGTTGTTTTAATATTTCACGTTCTTTCTGTGTCATCTCATCTATCAATGCTCTGGCTTTTTCGTTTCAAAGCCCCTCACATTTTTCTGTCTTTGGCTAATTCATAACCATTCTGCTCTCACTTGACTCGGGACCATCCAGAGTGGATTTCAGATGAACAGAAATTCCTGAGCGCTCACTTATAAATCCCTCACTGGCTCACATGTTTTAGGGAATGCTAAAAGCTTCAACTCCTGTTTCAATCTGCGAAAGCCAAAAAAGCAAAAGATTGAGGGTGCGTTCGAATTGTCCCTCCTATCTCCTTTCTCTATCCACTTCACCTTTAACCCCGGAAGCATTGAAGCAGCGGCCATGATGAGAGCCGTTCGAATTCTCTAAAAGTTAAGGAAAGGTGGGTCAGTGCTTCCTTTATAACCTCCTTTAGGATACACCGGACCATCCTTCACCGAAGGAGATGAGATATGATGCCCCAGAATTCCTTGCGGCCTCAACATTTAAAGCGAGTCGCTCATCCGACGTTCAGGAACATTAACGATGATCGTAAAGAGATAAAAGATAAGAGACATTTTTATCAGATCATGTTTTATTCAACATATTTCATCTGGACGCCATGACAGTGCTACAAAAGCCTGCATCGCTGTGTTTCCTGACCCTGTGTGCAGCGCTACCTCTCTTTAAAATTCAAAGACGGCGTCTCGGTTGCCGTAGAAACGAGCTGCCATCATGCTGAGCTCCTCGTATCAGACATTTAGATTGAAGACACGATGCATCAGCCCCTCGTTCAGACTGACAGTCTCCTCTCAGTCAGTCAGGTGGGGCGTTACTGGGGAACTCATGGAGGGTCTATCGATCGAGTGTTTGTGAGAGGGGTCTTCTGTATGACAAGACGTACGGGGGGCTGCTGGGAGGTGACTGACTACATCGATATCCTCCTGCTTCACCACGACTCGGCTACAGTGAAAGCAGATTGATTCATACCTCTGCAGCTCACAGTCTGCAGGTGTCCGACCTTTTCTTACTTATTCCCTCACATGTTGGAATCCTTTGATTCTCAAAGTTGATCCTGTGGGAAGTTTTTTTTTTTTTTCCTGTAAAAGTTTGTAAGGTGAAGAAGAACCAGTTCCAAATGTTGAATATTGAATATTGCACATGAAAAAGTTTGAAAACTTCAGGAGTTTTTTAGCAGTTTTTGTTTTGTCCGGTGTATTCCTGACCTTCAGGGAACCACTCTCCAAAATATTTGTGACCTGCAGCGTGATGTTAAGCATGACAGTAATGTAGAGAAATGGACGTAGCTGCAGCCTTGTTGCACTAATGTTGTTTGTTAGCACTAATTTATCAGGTGTACACTAGATGGTGTAATGTCTGTACTCACAGGAAATTGGACTTCATTATGTTTAATATCCATGCGTTCGGGTTGCAGCCTAGCAACAGTGTGTCTGCGGCATGGCAACAGCAGACGCCCGACTCGACTCCGGCCGGCTTTGTGGTGCAGTAATTGGACCTTTTTTAACTCGTGTTGAAGTATCGACATCGACCAGGTACACACACATTTCATCACAAAGACACATGGATACTGTAACACACAGAGAGGACGAGAACGTGTGTGTGTCGATGGAGTGTGTTCATGTTTGTGACATGCAGCGTGAATAAAAGAGGCGTTTATAGTGACTCCATTAGTGTAAACATTGAAGCTGGCTGCTGCTCCGCTCTGCAGGCTGCACTGTCCTTGAGCACGTGCAATATGTGCATCTTAGTGTGTGTGTGTGTGTGTGTGTGTGTGTGTGTGTGTGTGTGTGTGTGTGTGTGTGTGTGTGTGTGTGTGTGTGTGTGTGTGTGTGTGTGTGTGTGTGTGTGTGTGTGTGTGTGTGTGTGTGTGTGTGTGTGTGTGTGTGTGTGTGTGTGTGTGTGATGTCATTGGTGTGTGTGTGTTGAACATGCCATCGAGCGCTAATGGCTCGACTTCTTCATGTGCCCTGAAGGTGTGTTCATGTGTCGCTTCATCTGACCGGCTCTCATTCAGATAGTAAACAGAGGGACATTACTCACCGCCGGGGCTGCTGGGAAACGCAGTTCAGTTTGAAGAGGAGAAGGAGGAGGGAGCATTAAAAACAATGATTGGGTTTATTGTTGGTTGTAAAAAACTTTATGGCATGATTTGTCATTTTTAGGATGAACATTTAGAAGCAATCGAGTCAAATTCAAAAACACAGAAAAGAAGAAAACAGGGTTTTAAAAAAAGAAGTCAGGCTACATCACAATTAGCATATTTTTCTCCCCAATATCGGTGTCGCCCCCAAAAATCCCATATCAGTCGGGCCCTACTTTATAAATTTAATGGATGTTTGTAATTGTGTCATTTACTCCAGAATATGATTGCAGTTCAGAGAGGATTAGTTTCATTTTTTATTGTCTTCTTACTTGATGTGAACAGAATTAAAATCCCCCCCGAAGCCTCGTCTCTAACTGGGACTGAAATTAACATTCAGAAACACAACATCAAAAGTCTCATTTTACTTTTATATTCATGAGAGTCTGTGTTGTTCTATGTCACAACAGATGAATTCAACATGAAATCAGCAACCAGATCCATCATTTCAGGATTCTATTACACCGCCTAGATTGCTCCTGAGATACTGTTGTTGGATGAGTTTGGAAACCGGCTACCGCGCCGAGGTTAAAGAAACGACAGCGTCGAGGTCGCATCGTTAATTTGAAGTATAAATGGATTTATTACAGCGAGATAAAGCAGTTAAGAGGAAGCAACAGGGAGTAGATGCTGGATGTTGAAATGATTAGAGAGGGAATAATGGACGAGCGAGAGGAGAGTAAACGAGAGAGACGGGAAGGGATGAAAGACGGAGGTCTGAAGATAACCAGAGAGGTGGAAGGCTAACAAACAGTATTATCATCTAAATATAGAGTAAGATGCACTGCAAAACATACCATTATAATCAGTGTATCCTGTGTAAATGTCTCTCTGAGTCCTGACTGTCTACAATGAGGGAGAAGCTCGAGTCCCGCTGGCTGTGTTGTTGTCAGAGCCGTGTTTACATGGACGGGACGGCCGGCTCCTCCCCTTGTGTATAAAAGCTGTTTTAGTCAAGAACTAGAGAGAAGAAGAAGAACATACTCACTGATTATTTGGATAGCGTCTAATATGGGTCACCACCTAACCGCTAGGCCATTGGCGCTCCAACATGACAATTTAAAATCAATTTAAAGGGTTAATATGTGATTTTTTACTCTTAAATATAATATAAATCAAGTATATCCTCTGAAAATAACTCTGTGAGTCATGACTGTCTACAATGGGTGTAACACCCGAGTCCCACTGTCTGTGATGTTTTCAGAGTTTTCAGAGTCCTATCTTCACTTTGTTTACATCGCCCGGACGGCCGGCTGACTCCTCCCCTCATGTATAAAAGTTGTTTAATTGAGGGACTAGAGAAAAGAAGAATAACATACTGTACTCACTGCTTAACTGTGTTTCTAGATCACGCTCATTTCAGGTAAATTTACATACAGTGTGAAGATACCAGCATAATAAAGATCGCTAGCATTAGCATGCTAACACAACAATGCAGCGCGAGTTGTTTTGGTTTCATGCTGGTGCTCAAGGGCGACATCTGCTGGATTAAAAAATCACATATAAAGCCTTTAAAAATGGCTTACTAATAAAAACTAACATGAGCTCAATCACTGTTATTTACAATATCAAAGACAAAAAGTTTGGTAGAAGACAAGATAACGCCAGCCGCCATCTTTGAGTAAGTCATGTGACCTTAATTTGTCTTTTAACTGCGTTTTTTTTCTGTCTTTCAAACCAATTAAAAACACCTTCATCCTGATAACAGACCTGCTGAGGGTGTGAAGGTTGTGACAATGACAAGTTAGAAATGTGAGAGGGCGTAACCTGAAGGCAGGCGGTGTCACTGATGCTACTGGGTACAAATCATCTCCAGGACACACACACACACACACACACACACACACACACACACACACACACACACACACACACACACACACACACACACACACACACTTTTCTTCCCCCATTTCGTTCTGCTTGTGTTCTCGGCTTCACAGTAAATGTACATGAGAAAAAAAAACGGGGGGGCTGTGACCGAGACAGAGACAGAGAGCGACACAATGAGAAGGAGGGGAGAGGAGGGAAGAGGAGGAGGAGTGCAGGAAAGCAGAGAGAGGAAGGGAGGAAGGAGAGATGCTGAGTGAGTGAGTGAGTGAGTGAGTGGAGGCGCTCATTAATAAGAATTTAAAGGATGTGAAGAGAGGACAGCGAGCGAGGCAGACAGCGTTTTTCAGGACTGCCGGGAGGAGAGGGCAACGGGGGGAAAAGCAAAGAGATGGACGGGAGAGGAAACAAAAAAGGATGTGAGAGAGTTGGACAGTTAAGAAGCATCACCAGCAACCAGGTGTGTTGCCTGTTGGAGCTGTAGAAAAAGAAGAGGATAAAGACTCTTCTGCCTCTCTGCCTTCTTCTTCATTTGACCGCGAAATGAAGAGTGTGTGAGAGCACTCCAGCTGAGCCCGAAACATCACACGCCAGATGAATACATTCTAGTTTTGCAGAGAGGAGTCGGCGCTGCCAGCACAACATCGTCTTGTTACTTTCAGCCACTGCCAGTGGCTGAGTTTGAGATTTATAGGCTGGACCAAAGGAGGCATTTGAGGCAGGTGTCAGGTAGTGTGATGGTTTTTTTGTGAAGATTCACCTGCAGAGAGTATCTGAGGACATTTGAGTGCCTGGAGTTGGAGCATGTGTTGAAATCCGGAGAAAAAAAAAACATCAGAACAATAAAAGGAGGGGAAGGAGATTTGAAAGAGAGCAGTGTTTTATTTTTTCAAACAACACCTTCGCTTTTACTTGGAAATGTAAGAAGTCAGGATGTGGATTAAGGGGATGAGTCCAGAGAAGGAAGCCAGGGAGGAATGAGGTTGTCAGGGATAAAAGGGCAAGAATGGGTCGCCCCTGCCCCGCGGCGAGTCCAGCTGATGCTTCTTCTGCCGTCTCCGATTGACCATGCAGGTCCTGCAGATCGTCAAGGAGCTGGTGTCCCCGTCCAGACGCAGGGCAGCGACTCGGTTTGGAGGTTTGTGCATTTGGCTTTAATATCATCTTTATTCATGGGGTGACCTTTTTCCTGTCAGAGCCACTGGTGTCATTCCCTGGACAGGTTGTTAAATACAGAAAAGATTCAACTGGAGCATGCAAGCCTTTTGTTAAAAACTGGTTATTGGAAAGATGTGTTGTTCCACCCTGGAACGATGGGGTCAGTTGTCAGTCTCTTAAACCAAGATTGAAAGCTGCCCCCGATTTTGCTGTCAGGAGATGTTAATCAACCTGTTGGGCAACTTTGGTCAAAGCAAGGGGCCACATTCATTTAATTCTCACAGCCAGGGGGCCAGCTTGTAGAATACAAAAACGATTACAGTCAATTATGTCTCAAATTTAACTCGACATATACCAGTGATCTGATATTAGTATGGACACATTTCTGATTTTCATGATTTCATGGCAGATTTTCTCATGTTTTCTTCATGTTTTCCAATTAGTTGATGTGTAAAAATTGACCTGAGGGCCACGTTGAGGGTTGATGGGAGGCCACCAGTTGCCCACCCCTGGTCTAAAAGGTCTGCATCCTGGGCTTGTCCACTCGGCCGTCAGTGCCACAAAAAAATCCTTAGATTGATTTGAAGTACAAGCCGAACTAAATTTTAGCTCCATAGGGATGCTCTTAGAGGTTTTCTAACATTTAAAGCAAACTAGATCAGAAGAGCTGTCCAATCCCGTCGAAAGGCAAAAAGCTCTTTATCAACCCAGAACATCTTCAATGAGTTAGTTCAACATAGCTTTCAGTCAAAATGCCCCACAGTGGTCCAGATTTGAAGACTTATCCACTCTGGGGTCATTTCCCCTGACCTTTCTTTGACGTATCTTTAGATTAAGATAGGTATGCATTTTGCTCTTAAAGGTTTAGATTGCTTGAAACTGAACAAAGAGTCGTCTGAACATGTTGAAGCCGTAAATGGACCTGTAAAATATTCAGTCATTGGACGTACTAGGAATCTGTAAGGCAATTTGCAGATCTTAAATTCTCTATTCAAGGTTTTTAACTTACTATTTTTGATAACTTATCTCTGATTTTAGAACATTTGAAACAATCTAGCCAATAGGAAAAGCTGTCTGGCCATTTCTATAGCCGAGTGCTTTTAGGGCCTGTGTCCATTGACGCGTGTTAGCACTATACCGTTGTGCCCTTTTGCTATTTCCATCTTGGTCTTCCTGATGTCCATAAATCTGAATTAGCTGTTCACATGTCCCAGCATTCTGGTTTTTATTTATAACAGTCCAGTTATAGATCCAGGGTGTAAACAACACATCTCTGGGATCCTTCTACTTGAACTCGTGAGCCTCTAAAAACAACCTGTTGCTAACTGATTATATTTCCCAACGGAGCAGACAAAAGGGCAGAGTTTTCTCATGTTCAAGTTGGAATATTTCTCCGTCTTTCATCATCTTGTGAAAAATAATTATCCCATTTTGAATTGGAGAAAGCAGAGGGCTGAGGCCAACACTTAGTTAAACTCCATGCTATGTCCGTGTGGCATTCAAGGAGGGGCGTTCCCCCTGGAGCTTCTGTGGGACACCAGTGTTTTTGTGTGTTTGCTGCATTTCTCCGGTGTGCTCTGAATAATGAAGTGAGGTTGTCCGGGTTAATAGAAAACCGGTGAGACCCCCTGACCCCAACATGCCTCCCACTCTCTCATGATTGGATCTTGTGCGATCGCATCAATTCAAAAAGCAAGCGCTGCTTTGTTATTGTTTTCTCCAGAAGTTTATGAAAGCTTTTCTCCCCTGCAGAAAGAGGAACACCACAGCTTGTTGACTTCTCGCTTCACTACTCTTCAAATAAAAAACGGAGCGTCTGTATTTCCTGAGGGGGCGATTTGCATAAATTTAACGAGGGCTTGATGGGCAGGTAAATTGGTGCTTCTTGTAGATTCCTCCTAAAATGTCTTGTAATTAGGACATTGATGATAATTTATGATAATTCTAACTGAGAAACTTCACTCTTTCTGTCATATTTGTGGGGGTCTGTGTGTGCCAACATTTGCATAAGATGTGTACAGCTGTGCTTTCTTTAAAGGTTGATTTACGTTTTTGTTTTCTGTGGATCACCTGAAGGAATTAAGTGTGGGTGTATTTTTTTTACAAGGTTCAGAACATTTCCAATACTTCCATATGTCTGCGATACCAAAAGTTTTTTAAACGATACCATATCTGTATTTTTAACGATCAATAAATTCCAAAAGTGCAGAAGATATCTGCAGACCTTCAGTCATATTTCAACCCAAAGCTGCTGCCTGAGGTCGTTCTGAGGTCGTGAAATACTGACTTTTCTCAAGTCATTTTGGCTTTTTCTTAAAGACACAAAAGTTACGTCTATGTCTCTTACATTGAGAGAGCAGAGGAATTGACCATTTTAAAATACAATTTAGACCGTATTTGGGAGTTTGTTTGTAAAATTATCAAGCATTGAGTGTCTATTGGACTTGTTTGGAAACTGGAATAAATTTTTTACTACTAGTATCAATTTCAAGGTTAACATTTCTGGTATCTTGACAACCCTACTTCAACATAACATCTCCAAAATTGTTCTTGTAGCTTCTTTTGTTTGATTAATAATCCTCCTAGTTCAAGGACGACATGTGCATTTTGAAGTACCAAAGAGTACCAAATCCAGCTCACTCAAGCCAAGTTTGAATCCAACATTGTAGGCAAATTTAAAAGATGGCCTTTATTTTGAAACTCTGCACAAATACCACTCTATATAGTTGAGGTCAGACATGTTTATTGGGATATAAACGTGTTTTTTTTTAAAATCCAATGACCTCTTCCCTTTTGTATGCCATTAAGCTTTTCAAATTGGTGTAATAAAGCAAACCATTAAATGTAGAGTCCCCGCAGCTCTTTGAATCGAAGCCTTTATGTGATAGTGTGAAAAGCTGAATACTTCAGCTGCTCTAGAAGACTCCCTTTTTAAAGCCTTCTATTCACCACTCAGGTAGAAAATGTGTGTTGTCTGCAGCCAGCTGGCTTTGCTAACAGCTTTAATTTATCAACTAACCCCAGCAGAGCGTTTCACCCAGGACAAATGAAGCCATCCAAGAGTGCGTCGCAGTTTGCGTTCCATTGGGAAGTCAATACTTTGTGGCGGAAATCACCTGAATTATCGCTGGTAAATAATAGATGGGAGTCAGGCGTGCAGGCACTGGACTGATTATTATCTGAGGCAGTGGACAAGGTCAGAAGCGTCTTTATTTTACGCCAGGGGCGGCGATCATAGAAGTTTAATGTGGCAGCTAAATAACAGCTTAACCTGTGCACCGATATGCAGATGACTCAGCGATCATTTTAATGGATTCGGCCCAGAGGTGTCACACAGACTTCGGCCTGATGTGCCGAGGGTTTTAATAGGAGATGTGGAAATTAAATCATCAGGGCTCTGACAGGGAAGGAGCAGCGATGACAAACACATCGCACTGTTCAGAGCGTTGTTGAACCATTCTAATAACATCATCACGTTCCTGTATCTCTAACCTTTATTATTGGAGACGTACACTATCTGCATATGTCCCAAAGCCCTGAGCCAGGGAATGCAGCTTTGAGGATGTTTGTTTCCTCTGTGAGTTTGTTCAGTTTCTTGGTGGGGTCCTGGTGGTAGCTTTTATGGCTACAAGGACGACAACAAAGCTCCCGAACTGTCACAACAACAGCACCTCAGTTCCTCCGCTGTAAATCTCTAAAAGGTGTCGCCTCAGCTGCTAATGACAAATCAATTTGTCATACCCTGTTGGCTCTTCCTGATTTGAGCAATTACTCAATGAGTTTGGCTAAAGCTATACCAGGCATGCCACTGCCTGGCTGAGAGATAGATTCACATGGATTGAGGTCGACGATAGATGATTTGCTTAGTTGATTTATTTGTCTCTTAAGAGGTGAGGTCCCCATTGTATAAGCCTGTTGCCTTCTTGACCTCTCCTGACACACCTTTTATGTTTTTGTTAATCCTATTTTGATGTATTCTTACATGTGTGCTAATAAGTAAAATTAAAAAAATAAAACGGTGGTGAATTAATGAATTAACTGGGTCCAAAATGAACTTTTTGACTCACTGTGCAGGGTGGCAGGCACATGATAAAATCCGGCCCCCAAGGGTTTAGCTTGCGGCCAGAATAAGTGAATACATTTACTATGTTTTTTATATAAACGTCTGTTAGCTAGCAGCAGACTGGTAGCTGCAGGGTAGCTGATGTCCCGTATAGTAAACAGCATCGCTTGGTGGTTGGCATGTTGTGTGTGTGTGTGTGAGTCAGCTTGCCTCCATGATGCTCTGACATGCAGACAGCACAGGACGCTGCAGCTTTTCTGGTACAAACACTTAACCGCCATGTGGCAAACATCTGATATTTATTCACCAAACTGAAAAATGTGTTGGGCACTTGACGGGAAGTTACTTTCATGGTCCTCCCAACAACATAAGACAAAGTTGTTTTACAAAGTTCAAAACATGCCAAGGGGCCCCACAACGCCAATGAAAGAGCCCAGGATGTCAGTCTTGCTGGCTCTGTTGTTGTTTGTTAGCAGTGCCGCTAAACTCATGTCGTAATGATTTATTGATTTTCAAAAGTGGAACCTTTAACACGTCCAGACTGCAGCGTCTTGTGGGGCACTTTGAGTGTGTGTGTGTCCGACCTGATGACAAGTGTGTGAAACTTATTGTGAGGCAGGTAAGTGTGTTTAATAATCAGCTCTTAAGGCACAGACGCTTTAAACAGAGAGGGACTTTCACAGATTTCAGGGCGTCTTTATCGACGGGTCCGGGAAACGATTCACACTTTCCCATTTGGCTGTCGACTTTATCTGCGTCCATCAGCCCTGCAGAGGAATTCACCTTGGATCTTCTCTCAGCTTCAATCAATGCAGCCAGATTTAGAGATGGGCCCCTAACAGATACACACACACACACACACACACACACACACACACACACAGATAAATTCATAGTCTCACTGCGGTGCTGTGCAG